TGAAAATTTGGGAAAATTTGGGAAAATTTTTGGAAAATTTTGGAAAAATTTCGGAAAATTTGGGAAAATTTTGGAAATGTTCTGAAAATTTTTTGAAAATTTGGGAAAATTTGGGAAAATTTTTTGAAAATTTTGGAAAATTTTCTGAAAATTTTTGAAAAATTTTCTGAAAATTTTTGGAAAATTTTGGAAAAATTTCGGAAAATTTGGGAAAATTTTTGGAAAATTTTGGAAAAATTTCTGAAAATTTTGGAAAAATTTCTGAAAATTTTGGAAAAATTTTGGGAAAATTTTGAAAAATTTGGAAAAATTTGTAAAATTCTCGGAAATTTTTGGAAAATTTTTGAAAATTTTCGGAAAATTTGGGAAATTTTCTGAAAATTTTTGAAAAATTTGGTTAAATTTTTGGAAAAGTTTCTGAAAATTTCTGTAAATTTTATAAAATTTTCGGGAAAATTTCGAAAAATTTTTGGAAAATTTTGGTAAATTTTGGAAATTTTTTTAAAAATTTTGGAAAATTTGGGTAAATTTTGCAAAATTTTGGGAAAATGTTGGGAAAAATTTGCGAAAATCTGGGGAAATTTTTGGAAAATAATGTAAAATTCTCGGAAATTTTTGGAAAATTTTGGTAAAATTTTCTGAAAATTTGGGAAAATTTTTGGAAATTTTCTGAAAATTTCTAATATTTTGTAAAATTTTCGGGAAAATTTCGGAAAATTTTGGAAATTTTGGGAAAAATTTTGGGAAATTTTGGAAAAATTTCGGAAAATTTGGGTAAATTTTGCAAAATTTTCGGAAAATTTTGAAAAATTTTGGGAAAAATTTGCGAAAATCTGGGGAAGTTTTTGGAAAATTTGGGAAAATTTTCGGAAATTTTTGGAAAAAGTCTGAAAATTTTTGGGCAATTTTCGGAAATTTTTGGAAAATTTTTGGAAAATTTCTGAAAATTTTGTAAAATTCTCGGAAATTTTTGGAAAATTTTTGAAAATTATCGGAAAATTTGGGAAATTTTCTGAAAAATTTCTGAAAATTTTTGGAAAATTTTCGGAAATTTCTGGGAAAATTTTTGGAAAATAATGTAAAATTCTCGGAAAATTTTTGAAAATTTTCGGAAAATTTGGGAAAATTTTCGGAAAATTTTTGAAAATTTTTGGAAATTTTTGGAAAATTTGGGAAAATTTTCGGAAAATTTTGAAAAATTTTCGGGAAATTTTGGAAAAAATTTGGAAATTTTCTGAAAAATTTTGGAAAATTTTGGAAATTTTCTGAAAATTTTTTGAAAATTTGGGAAAATTTTTGGAAAATTTTGGAAAAATTTCGGAAAATTTGGGAAAATTTGTGGAAAATTTTGGAAAAATTTCTGAAAATTTTGGAAAAATTTTGGAAATTTTCTGAAAATTTTGGGAAAATTTTGGAAAATTTTGGAAATGTTCTGAAAATTTTTTGAAAATTTGGGAAAATTTGGGAAAATTTTTGGAAAATTTTCTGAAAATTTTTGGAAAATTTTGGAAAAATTTCGGAAAATTTGGGAAAATTTTTGGAAAATTTTGGAAAAATTTCTGAAAATTTTGGAAAAAATTTGGGAAAATTTTGAAAAATTTGGAAAAATTTGTAAAATTCTCGGAAATTTGTGGAAATTTTTGTAAAATTCTCGGAAATTTGTGGAAATTTTTTGAAAATTTTCGGAAAATTTGGGAAAATTTTTGGAAATTTTCTGAAAATTTGTGTAAAATTTTGTATTTTTTCGGGAAAATTTCGGAAAATTTTGGAAAAATTTCGGAAATTTTGGAAATTTTTTGAAAAATTTTGGGAAATTTTGGAAAAATTTCGGAAAATTTGGGTAAATTTTGCAAAATTTTCGGAAAATTTGGGAAAATTTTGGGAAAAATTTGCGAAAATCTGGGGAAGTTTTTGGAAAATTTTGGAAAATTATCGGAAATTTTTGGAAAATTTTTGGAAAATTATCGGAAAATTTGGGAAATTTTCTGAAAAATTTCTGAAAATTTTCTGAAAAATTTCTGAAAATTTTTGGAAAATTTTTGGAAAATTTTCGGAAATTTTGGAAATTTTTCTGAAAATTTCTGTAAATTTTGTAAAATTTTCGGGAAAATTTCCGAAAATTTTGGAAATTTTTTGAAAAATTTTGGGAAATTTTGGAAAATTTTCGGAAAATTTGGGTAAATTTTGCAAAATTTTCGGAAAATTTGGGAAAATTTTGGGAAAAATTTGCGAAAATCTGGGGAAGTTTTTGGAAAATTTTGGAAAAATTTCGGAAAATTTGGGAAAATTTTTGGAAAATTTTGGAAAAATTTCTGAAAATTTTGGAAAATTTTCTGAAAATTTGGGAAAATTTTTGGAAATTTTCTGAAAATTTTTGGAAAATTTGGGAAAATTTTCGGAAAATTTTGGAAAAATTTCGGGAAATTTTGGAAAAAATTTGGATATTTTCTGAAAAATTTTGGAAATTTTCTGAAATTTTTTGGAAAATTTGGGAAAATTTGGGAAAATTTGGGAAATTTTTCGGAAAATTTGGGAAAATTTTGGAAAAATTTCGGAAAATTTGGGGAAATTTTTGGAAAATTTTTGAAAAATTTCTGAAAAATTCTGGGAAATTTTCTGAAAAATTCTGGGAAATTTTGGGAAAATTTAGTTATATTTTTGGAAAAATTTCGGAAAATTTCTGTAAATTTTGTAAAATTTTCGGGAAAATTTCGGAAAATTTTCCGAAAATTTTGGTAAATTTTGGAAATTTTTTGAAAAATTTTTGAAAATTTTGGAAAAATTTTAGAAAAAAAAGCGAAAATCGGGAAATTTTTGGAAAATTTCAGAAAATTTCCGGAAATTTTCTGAAAATTTTTGGGCAATTTTCAGAAGTTTTTGGAAAATTTTTGGAAAATTTCTGGAAATTTTTTTGAAAATTTTGTAAAATTCTCGGAAATTTTTGGAAAATTTTTGAAAATTTTCGGAAAATTTTTGAAATTTTTCGGAAAATTTGGGAAATTTTTGGAAAATTTTGGAAAATTTCGGAAAAATTTCGGAAAATTTTGGTAAATTTTGCAAAATTTTGGGAAAAATTGGGAAAATTTTGGGAAAAATTTGCGAAAATCTGGGGAAATTTTTGGAAAATAATGTAAAATTCTCGGAAATTTTGGGAAAATTTTGGTAAAATTTTGTAAAATTCTCGGAATTTTTTGGAAATTTTTTGAAAATTTTCTGAAAATTTGGGAAAATTTTTGGAAATTTTCTGAAAATTTGTGTAAAATTTTGTATTTTTTCGGGAAAATTTCGGAAAATTTCGGAAAAATTTCGGAAATTTTGGAAATTTTTCTGAAAATTTCTGTAAATTTTGTAAAATTTTCGGGAAAATTTCCGAAAATTTTGGAAATTTTTTGAAAAATTTTGGGAAATTTTGGAAAATTTTCGGAAAATTTGGGTAAATTTTGCAAAATTTTCGGAAAATTTGGGAAAATTTTGGGAAAAATTTGCGAAAATCTGGGGAAGTTTTTGGAAAATTTTGGAAAATTTTCGGAAATTTTTGGAAAATTTTTGGAAAATTTCTGAAAATTTTGTAAAATTCTCGGAAATTTTTGGAAAATTTTTGAAAATTGTCGGAAAATTTGGGAAATTTTCTGAAAAATTTCTGGAAATTTTTGGAAAATTTTTGAAAAAATTTGGAAAATTTTCGGAAATTTCTGTGAAAATTTTTGGAAAATAATGTAAAATTCTCGGAAATTTTTGGAAAATTTTTGAAAATTTTCGGAAAATTTGGGAAAATTTTTGGAAATTTTCTGAAAATTTGTGTAAAATTTTGTATTTTTTCGGGAAAATGTCGGAAAATTTCGGAAAATTTTTGGAAAATTTTGGTAAATTTCGGAAATTTTTTGAAAAATTTCGGAAAATTTTGGAAAATTTTCTGAAAATTTCTGAAAATTTTCTGAAAATTTTTGTAAATTTTGTAAAATTTTCGGAAAATTTGGGAAAATTTTGGGAAAAATTTGCGAAAATCTGGGGAAGTTTTTGGAAAATTTAGGAAAATTTTCGGAAATTTTTGGAAAATTTCTGAAAATTTTTGGGCAATTTTCGGAAAATTTTCGAAAATTTTTGGATAAATTTCGGAAATTTTTTGGAGAATTTGGGGAATTTTTGAAAAAAATTGGGAAATTTTTGTAAAATTTTTGAAAAATTGTGTAAAATTATTGAAAAATTGTAAAATTTTTGGAAATTTCTTAAAAATTTTGGGCAATTTTCGGAAATTTTTGGAAAATTTAATCAAACATTTTCCGAAAATTTTCCAAAAATTTCCGAAATTTTAAAATTTCCCTTAATTACTTTTTTAAAATGTCTGAAATTAAAAAACAAAATCCGAAATTTTCCAAAAATTTCAGAGAATTTTCCACACATTTTGGGGTTTGGAAACACGACAATAAGTAGGATGACCTTTAGCAAAGTTTTACATGGATTTTGCATTTTTTGAATTTGCGTAATTTTGTATTCACGAGCAAGTCACAAACCGGACTGTTCTCGTTTTGCAAGACTTGTAGCCATGACTAGTAGCTCTTTTGTGCGTGGCAAGCCTCTGTGTACTTCATCTGGCGCAAGTCTTCATGCCGTGTTATACAAGAAGTGTGGCCTGGGGATCACTACTGTGTGTCCACTTCATCAGCAGTATTGGTTTTGCTTTACTATCAGCAAATTTACACTGCCATATTTTATCCTTTCTGCATCAGATTCCCTGGATGTGATAAGTCACCTAAGAGGACCATTTTTTCCACCAGGTTTAACAGATGCTCAGAATTCTCATGAAGTATTTGATGAATTGTCTTGACACACAGTAGACAGGCCACTTACTATGTTTTACTGCATTAAATATAAATGTTCGTACCATAAATTGGTGTTTTAATTACCCCCTTTATAATTTACTGTTGGTAAACGGAGATGCCAAAAACTGGTTTACCAAGGGATTAGTCTTGGGTGTCACGGGTAACCAAATTAGATTCAAATACTGAATTAGATTTATTTGAAAATACAATACTGTATATATAGATCTAATAATAAACAAAGTGTAAACAAGTTTCTAAAGAACAATTTAAATACATGTACTGTATTCTGCAAAGCTACGCAAGTGATGAATACTACAGTACAATACTGTAATATTGTTAGCTCGGCAAACCAGGACTGAAAAGAATGGTACGTATTTAATATTACAGTATCCTCTATGTTAATGGTGGAAGAGCCGGATATTTGAATGTACAAGAACCATGTCGTGCTCATCACAGGCATCCACCACCAGGCTGTCGTTGGTAGACCCTGCTGGACTTACGATGAAATCAACACCACTCTGAAAAGCATTAGAATTAATATAAATGGTAATCATAACTTCTAATGTAATTATGTGTTACAATCAATGTGTAAAATCAGGCATCTGTAAAATACCCATGAAAATGTTTTTTGTTTCCTGTTGTGTTTAGGTCAGATCAGGTTATTCAGCTGAGAAGTGCAAAATTTTCATTAAACTTCACATTTAGTTGAACCTAACCTATCAACATGAAATGGAATGTTTTTACAAGTATCTTACGTGTTGCTTCATTTGACAATGCCTACCATATATTCACTTAAATGCTGAAGTTGGTGTTAAATTTCAGACTAAATAATATACCAAACACTTAGCAATCACTTCCACAAGGTCCAAGAATCAATGTTTATTATATTGGAATGCAACTGCAAATTATTACCTTTGAATCAAGATACAGTATGTTAATTTAGATTTCTTAACTAATTTATGCAGTACCAGTCTTTCATTTAAAATTTAAGCAAATGATTAAAAAAATTATTCTAGCTTGAACATGCAAAAGCTTAAGTTACATTTTTAACGCTAATGTAATTAAATATTTCTGCATACCTGTCTTGATCGGTCAACATTATCTCTGAATGGGAAGAAAGCATCTGAGGATAGTGCAATGCCATTCAGCTTCTTTATCCAGGACTCCTTTTCTTCCTCAGTCAATGGGGCTGGAATCTCCTCAAGTACCGCTGCAAACTGTGATTCCGGCATATCTTTGCCTAAGGGAGAGCATTTTGTCAGGTCTACCAAGTTGAAGCCCAAAATAAAATCACAACTTCAAACTCGAGGAGTTTTGAACTTCTCATCCATGCAGCTATGTTTGAAAAATAATACAACACGAGGAAATTCAAGCTTTGTTCTAAGAAGTACCTATAGTTTGAAAAGCAGATTCCAGCTTCAACATTATTCACATCAAAATGTAAACTGTTATAAGGGTCAGTTTTGGTCACTCGGTGAAATTCAAACAAGTTCACACACCAACTTTCTTCTAAATCTAAAACCAAGGGGGCAAATCAGAGATGCTGTACTTACCCACAGTACCACAAACAAAGTTGTCAATGGCATTGGATTTCTCAGCTCGTTTCACTCCTTCTTTAAACTTCATGTTCAACACACGAGGATGATGCCGCAGCCACCTAAGAGACCCCACACATAATCACACTGGCATCTAAAAATTTATTCTTTCATTTACAGACTGCTAAACAAAGTAAGTCCTGCACAGTATAAGCTTATTCATAATATTACAATACATGTGCATGTTTTAACCTCCAAGGAGAGTTTTAAAAAATTTATAAAAAATTAATTTATAAATTATTAAAACCACTCAATTTATTGATTAAGATCTGGATCATCTGAAGATCAGGCACCCCAACTTATTTCATCTAATTAATTGCAATGTTCCACATACAGTACAAGCCCAGTACAGTATTAGGACTAATTTCCCTCCAATGAGAACAACCACACTGGGTATTTTTAAATTGCATGCATGTTTTAACCTTCATAAAGCCTGTAAGGTGTCCCAGTACACCACCTCATGCTACCCACACCTCTATAGGGGTTTTCCGCCTTTGTCATCATGGAAGACAAACAATGATAACTCTGCCCGCCCCCCCCCCCTGCTCTTCCCTCGGCTAACTACAGTATAATTAAATTAATGCATAATTTTTATTCTTCAGCAGTACAATTAACAGCAGAAGTTTATCCCAAACCACTTACATTGTAGAAGGGCAGGTTATCTGGTAACACTGTATGGGAAGAAGAGTCGACATCCTTTAAATGGCTTGTTATTCAAGGATGATGATCAGAGAATGACCAAGAATGAATTTCTTGTGTGAAAATAATGTGGAGAAATATACAGTATGAAATTGCTGCAGGAAGATTAATAACTGGGGAACAAGATGTATTTGTATTGCTAATACCAACTAGTATTTATCAGGCTTAATGACATTTTCATTATGAAACAAGGGCATATTTCTCAATAACATTATTTTCACACTAATTAAGTACAGTAATACAGTATTCAAAATATGTAGTTTTTAGCAATCTCAGTTCATCAATCTTAAATAACTAGTCATCTAAAGCATAATTATCTTAACACCTTCCTCATACCATGCAGGTTGGTTGGGACGAACTTCTGCTGTCGAGCTGTAGTCACCCACAAAATTCCTTTCATCTCTCCAGCTGCTCCACAAAACTCGACATTCAGACTCCTGAACCCAAACTATACAGTACGTGCAACATTGTCCATAAATGCATAGGACTCACGAGTCTGAATTTCATGGTTCAGGAGAAGGGACAGGACTTGTGGGCGATTGTACACTTTACAGCGTATCTAATTTTACTTAAAAGTTTATATTTTACTTTATTAGGTAAGCAGGTTTTTCTTATGGTCACAGAAAGGGTCAAACGTTATGACACTACCTGGAGGGGTTAGGTCTGGTCAAGTTAGAATTAAAAGGTTTATTTATCAGGTGAAAAAACTGGGGTGCCTAGTCTTCTGGTAATCTCTCGACTTTATTCACCATTACCTTGATCAGCATAGTCTTCATCATAAGGAGTTCTGTTTAATTTTGCAAATGATGACCATCACCAGTTGTTACCCTACCAGCTTGCAAAGGTCCACTGATTGATCCGTTTATTTACCATATATTAGTAAACACTGGTAGATTAATACATTAAGAGCTTCTGCCTTTAGCATTTATATGAACACGAAAACTGATACCATGTGTTATGAAAAACTTTCAAATTTAGGGAAGATGAAAACTAGATAATTGCAAACAACCAAACCAGCACTTGTCAAGTCATCTTGGATCATAAAGTAGCTTGTGTAGAATTAAAGAAAAACACTCACCAATTATTAGTTTTGTCGCCTGCAAGTCTGGTACAATGAATACGTGACTGTTGACCAGCACCAATACCCACCACCTGGCCAGACTTTGCATAGCAGACAGAGTTTGATTGTGTGTACTTCACGGCTATAGTTGCTACAATGAGATCGCGAATACTTTCTTTGCTCAGCTGTAAGAAAATTAATATCGAACATTCCCTCCACACGTAGCATTCAGAATTTATACTCACAAAAAAATTTCATATTACATCCAGGAGAAAACATATATTACGGAAATACTAAAATAATGCACCTGTTTGTTTTTTGTAACAATGTTGCTTAAAAGATCAGGTGTGATGGATGCATCATTCCTCCTCTGCTCCAGTGTCAGGCCAAAGATGGTGCGACGTTCCACAAGATTCCCCTTGTACTCTGGGTCCATCTGTTGTAGTCACCGAGAAAGACAAAGTGGTTACACATTAGCAGATAAGCCTGCAGCGGTTCCCATCCTGAGGTCACAACCCAAATCAGGGTGGCAGGGGTGTCCTCAGACAATTTTAAAAATATAGTACTTACCTTAAAGTCAAATAAATTTTTGCTTAACATTCAAGCTAAATAATATATTATATGCCTGAGGGTCACCACACCGTATTGTTGGGAAATTTAGGGTCACTGCCAAAGAAAATTGGGAACCAGTGATTAAGGAAATGTATCTACTCCAAAGCCACATGCCACACCCACCTACTCCATTTCCTGGTTTTCCTCAACTACCTCACTCATTTCCACTTCCCAATCATGGAGAGCTGTGCCTCATCTTCCTTTGTATACCTCAACCACATTTCTCTATTCGAACTTAAACTTAGTATAATTTCATTACTCAAGTACTGTAGGTATCCACACCATACATCAATACTCTTCCACACTTCCATCCACCCTATAACACCACTTCTCAACACATCGATTCTCACCCTTCTCCCGCCAACCACTTCTTGCCTACCCCGTCTTTATCAACGTTAAAAATCCAGCCTTACAAGACCCCCCATGAATTACTTTCACTGCAGACAAGTTACTTGCAATATTCATTTAAAATACCATAAAGGTTCTAATACACGACCACCATATATGGAACTCCACGACTCCTTGCAAGACTGATACGTATGGAGCTGTTAACTACTGCTAAAAATATCCACAATTGATCTTTAAAACCAGTAACTTCTGGATATCAGCTGGACTAATGGAACTTGTAGTGGACACACTCCTCTACAACGGATCTCCCATCTTCACTTCAGCCAATCAACAGCGAGTTCCATATCTCAGCCCCCCCCTCTAAGCTTCTGGGCTGCTTGCTGATTGGTCACTTTGTCATCTCCTAGGCCAATCAGCAGCGAGTTCCACATCAAACTCTCTTCCACCAAATCGTTCGCTGATTGGCCTGTTGCCGCCTCGCCTCAGCCAACCAGCAGCTCCGCACACTTCGCATCTCCGTTTCTTGATCCGGCAGAATCATATAAATACCCCCGCCTCGATGTAAAGGTCAGAGCCCAGCTGAGCAGTGAGATGAGAAGACACATGTCACAGCTACTCCCAACCTACATGCTTCCACTTGTTCATATCCGTCGGCGCCTGGCCAGACTTACTGTAGTCATACGCCACTCTCTCTTTGAGGTGGATATCTCGTCTCTGTTGAATGGACTTGCTCGTTTCCGTGTTTTATGCTCAAAATTTTTAGTGCCCTCACCGATTCTCCCAGTATTAACGAACCCTGCAGCAACTGTTAGGACATGCCACAAAAGTGCCCCTTAAAGGGGTGTGAGGTGGGCCAGTGAGTTTAGCCGATAGGGTACAGTAGGTTCCCTCTTTTATGGGGGTCCTGTTGCAGAACCAGAGCCACCAACCTATGACCGCCCCATTGGAGGGGTTGGCTACGGCACTGGTCCTAAGGCAACAAGGAACTAGGTAGGATAGCGAGCCTTCATTGTCAATTTATTGAGATAAAGATGAGTGTGAGAGATGTAACAGATGGAAGGAAAATGCCACAAGAGGCCTCGGAAGGAAAACCATCTCCGCCATCAACAATATGTCCCCAGCAATCCACTCCGTAGAACAGGGGTCACCAAACTACGGCCCGCGGGCCGGATCCCAAGTCCTTCCCCGGCTCGTGGTAGCTCCGCCTACGCTCTGACGTTACCAGAGCTTTCGTTCTGGCTTGCAAGTATTGAACAGAATGATTATGCAGCCCGCACTCGTCATTCTTTCAGTTATCCGGCCCACTGTGAAAAAAGTTTGGTGACCCATGCCGTAGAAGAACCACCCACCCTCGTGATTCTGACTGTGATGTAGTACAAAATTCCCAAAGAAACCAAATTCAACCATGCATACGAGGTAGCGGTAGTATTAGAACTAGAATACAAGAACAACAAGTTCAGTGTGAAGCCCAATCTAGTCTGAGACCTGAACATAAGAGAATAAGGAGTCTGCAATAGGCCGGTTGGCCTGTGCATGGCAGCTCCTGTCGAGAGTTACTACCACTATCTATCATCCATGAATCTATCTAGCCTCCTTTTGAAACTTTCCAGAGTTCCCGCACTTACTTAAAGGTTGCTAAGCTTGTTCCACTCGTCCACCACCCTATTTGTGAACCAGTTTCTTCCTATCTCCCTCCTAAACCTAAACTTATCCAACTTGAATCCGTTGCTCCGAGTCCTATCCTGCTCGGATATTATAAGAACTTTATCTATATCCCCTTTATTGATTCCTTTCACCCACTTAAATACTTCTATCATATCTCCCCGCACTCTTCGTCTTTCTAAGGAATGCAAGTTAAGTTTCTTTAACCTATCCTGATATGGAAGGTTTCTAAGTCCCGGAATCATTTTTGTCATTCTTCGCTGCACCGACTCTAGTGAATTTATATCCATTCTATAATAGGGGCACCAGAACTGAACCGCATAATCGAGGTGCGGCCTGACTAGCGCAAGATATAGTTGCAATAAGACCTCTGCACTCTTGTTACTTACACTTTTAGATATAAAACCCAATACTCTGTTTGCCTTATTTCGAACATTAACGCACTGTTTTCTAGGCCGTAGGTCCGGGCTTACAAGTACCCCTAGGTCTCTTTCACAAGTCGACTTCTCTAGGTTGATGTTGTTAAGGCTGTATACATTATAAGTATTTGTTCTTCCAATATTAAGTACGCTGCACTTGCTGGTGTTGAATTTCTTTTGCCATTTTTCAGACCACCCCTGCAGTTTATTTAGATCCTCCTGTAATGCATTTGCATCCTGCCCTGAATTAATTTGCCGCCCTATTTTGGTGTCATCCGCAAACTTGCTTATGTCACTGCTGATCCCAGTATCTAAATCGTTTATGTAGATTATGAACAAGAGTGGGCCTAGTACTGACCCCTGGGGAACCCCACTGGTTACACGGCCCCACTCAGATTTAACACCATCTACGCTGACCCTCTGCGTTCTATCGGTGAGCCATGATTTTATCCAATTTAAAACTTTCCCCTCGATACCATGAGCCTTGATTTTTCTCAGAAGCCTCTGATGCGGTACTCTGTCAAATGCTTTGCTAAAGTCTAAGTAAATAACATCGTAATTTTCGTCATTATCTACTACCTCAAAGACTTTCCTAAAAATCGTTAGCAGATTTGTTAGACAAGATTTTCCCTTTGTAAACCCATGTTGAGAGTCATAGATTAATTTGCTTTTCTCTAGATGCGATCGGATGCTATCTGCTATAATTGATTCAAGAAATTTCCCACTACTGACGTCAAACTGATCGGCCGGTAATTTGACGCTGATGCTCTGTCTCCCTTTTTGAATATGGGTACTACATTTGCCTGTTTCCACAACTCTGGCACAACTCCAGTGTCTAATGATTTTGTAAATAAGTTTACGAGGGGTCCGCTAATCTGTTCCCTACACTCTTTTAAGACTCGAGGGAAAATTTCATCCGGCCCTGGGGATTTTGTATTCTTTAGTTTATTTATCTTCTTAAGAACATCCTCTTTTCTGATAGTGATATTCTTTAATTTCTCTTCTTCCTTTCCCTTAAATATCAGTTCCACCTCCGGAATTTCATCGCAAATTTCTTCTGTGAAAACTGATAAGACGTAGCTGTTCAATGCTTTGCTTATTTCTTCACTGCCATTTATCATTTCTCCCCTCCCTGACTTTAAAGGCCCAACTTTGTCCTTGACCTTTGTCCTATATACCTGGAAAAATCCCTTGGGATTCGCCTTGGATTCTCTTGCTATTTTGATTTCATAGTCTCTCTTTGCTTTCCTTACATTTTTCTTAACATTCCTAGATAGTTCATTATACCTGTTTCTGAGCTGCTCCTCCCCTCCCTTTAATTTCTTATATATTCCTTTCTTTATTCCTATGTCATGTTTAAGTTTTCTGGTCATCCACCTTGGCTCATTCTTATTTGACCTAATTTTTCTGTATGGTATATTTTGTTCTTGTGCTTTATGTAGTATACTAGTGAATATATCAGTCATGATCAATTGTTTTGTCATCTATGACCTCACCCCTTCCTACTGGGAACTGACATGACTGTTCCCAGGTGACCTCACCAAGGTACCTTCTTAACCCCTAATAATCCGCCAACCGAAAGTTTGGGACTCTGACCATATTGTCAGTTTTTCGTTTCCCAATTTAGGGTGAACCTGATTTCTCTGTGATCACTGTTACCACAGCAACAACACAGCCAAGATGCTCAAACTATCCAACCAGGAGCGAACTCGTAACAATGGCTTTAAATTAGACATATTTAGATTTAGGTGCCAGATAGGTAAATATTGGTTTGGAAATAGAGTAGTGGATGAATGGAACAAGTTACCAAACACCATCATTAACTCAAATACGCAGGATAGCTTCAAACATAGGTTGGATGGATATATGAGCGATAGGGGTTGGGTGTAAATGGGACTGCCCAGTAAGAGCAATTAGGCCTGCTGCAGTTTCCTCCATTCTTATGTTCTATGTTCTAATCATGAACACCAAGAGCAACTACAGTGCAAGCGACGAGGAGATAATGATAGAATAGCCCCACCTTGTCATCTCAAGATAACACAGTGGAATGTACAAGGCCTGTCCAACAAACGGCATACTGTACAAGCAGCAGCCATAGCTAAAAATATTGATGTCTCCATTTGGCAAGAAACCCTGATGTCAAAAGATAAACAATTCCGCTTGCCTGGATACCAACAGTACTCTGTACCACAAAGGCCCTACTCCCATGGCAGCATGATTCTCGTCAGGACGACCATCCCCAGTTCAGAAGTAGAACCAGTTCACTGTGGAAATGGAGAAGAGGCACAAGCTGTTCTGATACACCTGACAAACGACAGTCTTGTAGTTTACATCTGTAAACTGCCAACCAAACGACTAGAAGCCGGTAAACTACTGACAAGCAACACAGGAACTT